AAAGCCATAGTATTCTACCATATAATGTACTTGAACTACTCAGTAATACTATCAACTTTATCTGTTAAAGCCATAGTATTCTACCATATAATGTACTTGAACTACTCAGTGATACTATCAATTTTACCTGTTAAAGCTACAGTATTTTACCTGATAATGTACTTGAACTACTCCGTGACACTGTTTCTTCAGATTCTGTTAACTGTTCCTTTTCTTTCTGAATTGCTTGAGGACTCTCTGCAGACTTTCTCCCTGATGAATTGAATATAGACAGATCACAAACATCCTCAACATCTTCCTCCTTAACTTTTGTATCCTCAGAGTTTATTTTACTTTCTTCTTGGCACGAGATACTGGACACATGGTGATTTTGAAGTCTGGATAAGAAATGTAAGAAAATAAGGTATTACTGTAAACTTAATGTACATGGAGAAAAAAAAATTGTTGTTTTAGAAACTGACATCTATGCTTACATTTAAATCCAGATGTGGAGATAGGGAATCAAGGCATTGTTTGTGTGAAATATTATTTGATGATATGTAATCCATTAATGAAAAATTAAGGTGAACTTAGAGAATAATTACAATAAGTTTCAAAAAATTTTAACATAGATCAAAAAGTTGTTGAAAATTTTGTGACTTATTCATATCATTTGTGAAGATTTTAGAAAAAGAAAATCAGTTTGATGGTAAATAAATAGCATCGTTCTTTTTCAAAGGTATTACTTTCCTTTTTCTGAACTATACTGCTGTGCAAAAAAAAAAAAGTTTCAAGTGCTGAATGCCTATTACTTGTTAATGAAAACATTATCAAAACAATTATGTGTAAGCTTGTCACATTCTAAACATTGTGATCTGTTATGCTTTGATTTAATTCATTTTCGATACCCAATCACACATTAAGGTTTTTAATAAAGTGAAGTTGTTAATTAATATTCCACGAAATACCATAGTAAAAAAACGGTATGTCATTAAAACTGAGCCACCATAAAATCTTGTTTTACCTGTATGGTGTTGAAGCCTGTGCAATTCTTTCATGATTCTGGGCTAGAAATGATGGTAGGCTGGCTGCCATGCTAGAAAATTATATATCTGTTTATAATCAGCAGTGACTACTTCTTTTCAATAACAGAAACAACAACACGCAGATATAAATTATTTACAACAAAGGATTAATATCTTAGCATTTCATCCTGCTCCTATACACTGTACATGTTTCTTTATGAACTGGACTAGAAGTTTACAGTTTTAGACTTTACAAAGAAAGAGTTGTACTTTATTACTGCCATGATTACAAGGTTCATTTATATAAATAAATACGTTCATCCAGTTCATGTCAGCATTTCTTCGAGCAAGTAATTTAAGTTTCTACAATTGTAGTAATTGCAACGAGAATATTTAGTTAAAAGTACCTATCCATATTACCAATGACCACAGAATGCTATGTGGAAGATCAGGTCCTCACAGAACTCTTTTATTATATGTCATTGACATTACTCTTAAATTACAGGCTTTTTTTTTTTCTGTTCACAACCATCAACATTCTGCACCACAGTGAATAATTTTATTTTACTGACTGATAAAATATTTTTGGGTAATATCACTCACTTTTTAAGTACACAGGGGACCCTGGCAGTAATTAGTGGGGTAAACTACAATATTGAGAGTCTTTTGTTTACATTTCTTTATGATGTATATTTTATTACAGATCCTACAAAGTCAGGGAAACAAAAGTAACTTGGCACATATATAGTTTAGAAAAATATATTAAAAAATTCCATGGTTAAGATGTGGTTAACTTTCTGACCAATACATTAGAAACATTTTGACCTAGTTAAGTTTCCCCTGTATGATCTAGTACAATCAAATTTGGCTAAGCTCTATCCTATAATGATAGAAACATTAGGTACTGGCTAAGCTCTACCCTATAATGATAGAAACATTAGGTACTGGTTAAGCTCTACCCTATAATGATATAAACATTAAGTCCTGGTTAAGCTCTATTTGATAATGTCAAAAACATTAGGCCTGGGTAAGATCTACCTAATAATGTCAGTAACATTAAGTCTTGGTTAAGATCTACTTGATAATGTCAGAAACATTAGGCCTGTGTAAGCTCTACTTGATAATGTTAGAAACATTAGGCTTGTGTAAGTTCTACTTGATAATGTCAGAAACATTAGGCTTGGGTAAGATCTACCTGATAATGTCAGTAACATTAGGCCTGGGTAAGATCTACCTGATAATGTCAGTAACATTAGGCCTGGGTAAGATCTACCTGATAATGTCAGAACATTAGGCTTGGGTAAGATGTACTTGATAATGTCAGTAACATTAGGCCTGGGTAAGATCTACCTGATAATGTCAGCAACATTAGACCTGGGTAAGATCTACCTGATAATGTCAGTAACACTAGGCCTGGGTAAGATCTACCTGATAATGTCAGTAACATTAGGCCTAGGTAAGATCTACCTGATAATGCTGTATGAAAATATTTGTAGTGTCTTTTGCATCTCTTGCATAATATAGTTGGAGATAATAGAATATCAACCATCGGTGAAGATATTTATCATTTCATTTGTTGCACTTTATAACTCTGTCCAATAATTTTTTTTTTCATCTCTTAACAGTGACTGTCAGCCACAGATTTTTATAGTTAGAGGTGTATTCCATTTTATTTGTCCCTGCTATTAGAGTGTGACATAGAACATAACTGCATAGTTGGTTAAAAAAATAGTTTTTGATAACAATGTTCCTCGTACATGGCAAAACAGGCACCCACTACCATCAGTGTTCGAAATAACTGTTTTTAAGTTGTCTGAGACAACCAAACTTATCACCAAACAACTTAAACGTACAACTATGTTGTCTGTAGGACAGCCACAACATGGCTCATTCCCATGGCAGTCTAGGCAGCTAACCCATATTAACATGTTTAGAGTACTATATAAATTATGAGTAGTGTGTCTACGTGCATAGTGTTCTGATTTCCTCGGGGACGTGATCAAAGATGACTACACACTATTTACCAATAAAAATGTTCATTATAACATCTTGCAAACCTGTCACAATGTATGATCATTAACAGGTCGCCACTCACAAGATTTTGGTAACATCATGCTCATTTCCTCTATATATTTTTACATGTTTTGCTACATTAGACTCAGATACCATTTTCTATGTATGTTGTGAATCTAAAATAGCCAAACAACCTCTGTGTCAAATACAAGGGATCACGACAAAGTAGGCATAAAATCTGAATACAGAGGCTGAATATGAATACAAATACTAAAGAATATCCCAAAGTTCCTACCAGGGTAGCCTTCTATCACTGAAGTATGATGAAGAGAAAGGGATCGTGTTCTGCACATGAGATTCTTCGATAAAATCACAATTTTCTATCAACTAATGAGCTTTTTAGTGTAACATCTGATTCACGACAATGTAACACATAGCAATGGGTTCAAAGTGAGAACCAAACAGGGCATGAACAACCACACTGAGATCCAAATCCAGAAGCACAAAAGAATGGGGAGGATGAACTGGACAAAAGGAATGGAGTGGAGAAGGATCTGTGGAAACTGGAGAAATGGAAGGTGTTGGGCAGGGTAGTCTGATAACTAGCAACAATGGACATGGACAGACCCTCATCAGATAACTAGGTAAATAACTGGAACAGATGAGGAACAAAGGGACAGAAAGGATGGAAGATAAATCAAATGGACCACTGTCTGAAGGTAGACCAATGTCTCTGGTACACAGACAAAGAGGAATGCTGAAGGGTACGGGTAACTAAAGACACTACACAAGGGGTGAATCCCTGAGCTGAGGTGGCACGATATGATTGGTGGATGGTAGTCACATGATCAGAACGCCACAAAAATGAACAGGTATAAAAGACTGATGCACTGTTGGAAATTTTAGTAATTCTTAGAGGACAAATCAAGGTTGAGGTCGTTGTGTGTGAGACGAGGAAGTACCGTTTTGAAATACTATTTTCTTAAGTTATGTTGTGTAAATCAAGTAGTTGTGTCTTTCTGCAATTATATAAGAAATAAAAGTGGTGCAGTCTTGTATAACTCGACACCTTACTAAAACTTTAGAAGTTTCATAATTACTTATATATATCAATTTAGTTTCAAGACCTATCCTAATGATATCAGAATCACTGAAGATAAGTTTGTGAGTTTGTATGTTAATACGTTTCACAATACTACTTCACAAGGACCAGAAGAAACCTAAAATCTCTGAATGTTGTTTAATTTAAAACAATCTCTTAACATTTGTTTGAACTGAATTCTATTTCCCATCATCATATTTAAGTGCACATCAAATTATAGATATATAGTGCTTACCCATCTCTAAGGTATGGTAAATGAGAAGACAGCGAAGAGGAAACAAAATGGGACTTTCCACCTTCACTTGGTACAGCTGCCCATGGTCTAAATGCAGGCATTCTTGACCATGGAAAAGCTGTAATGTGGTACCAGTAAGCTAAAGCTGGATCCCAAGGTACTGAAGAATAAGGATAGAAGAAAGGTTGCTCTTCCAGACGCAGCCGTTTTGAGACTTCACTTTCTTCAGTCACACTCTGATAAAAGAATGAATGAATAACTTTGGCACAATATCCAAGTTAACAAAGTCACAAACTTTTGTTAAAATTATTTATTACACATTAAAAAGTGACAAAAAACACAGTTAAATCAAAAATCCAACAAAAATTACAAATGACAAAAAAATATGATTTTAGTTTACTTTATAACAGCTTTGAATTACTAATCGTGGGATTTTTCACAATTCCTTACATATTTTTCTTCCTTGGGTCAAATCATAATATCAAAGTAACCAAATTCATAAAAGAAAAACATTCCTCTCAAATAAAATGAGATGATTTACTCCAGGATCAGTGGCTGGATTTTTATACTAATAGGTAACAAAAATAGTAAATAATCCCTCACAGCTCTTTACACCAAATACAAGTAAAGGTTGGATCCCCCTAACAGCTATCTGTCTGGTATATTTTAATGCTTGTGAGAACTGGCTATACATATTTTGATGAAATTTGTTAAAGAATCTCAGGAGGATCTTCATAAACACTAAAATTGAACTTAAGTGGATAAGCCATCCGATATATGGTTTGATTTTGGCAGACATATTAATTTTATCACCTTAGTGCCACCAATGAATATATGAAAGTATTACCAAACATAAGTGAGTAGCACGGGTACTTTTGCATTATACAAACAGGTTGTGTGCTATGGCTCAAAACTATGGAAAGGGGTGGCCCGTCCCCACATTTGTAGCATTACTTTTTAAGCCTGGCTTTGGAAGGTGCCTTTTCTGTTACAAAATAAAAACAGAACCACACCCTCATAAAACCTGCTTCTGCTTTAAACACATGAAGGTTACACCTGACTGTTTTTCTTTTTTCTCTATTCTAGCATTACAGGTGAAACATAAAGTTCAAACCATCCACTTCTCAGGTATAAAATAAAGCTCACAAAAACACTTTTGGGGCAAAAGTTTAATATCATTTGCATATAAAGATAAACAGTAACTGACATTACAGGAAACTTACTGAATGCTGAATATTTTCACAATATTGTAAGTATCCACAAAAATTAGTGTTTTTACCCTTACCAGTTGAAGTTTTCGAATTTGGGCAAATACTTTCAAAATATCTTAAAGATGATATAAGAATGTAAAACTGTTCTTTTTACAGTAACTGATATTAAACTATATTCATATAACATTCTATCATGGTCTCAAATTAACAGCTGTATGAATAACATGTTTCACAGCATACTTATTTTAATACAATACTTTCACTGAAAACACGCACTGAACTTATAAAACCATACATTATTTAAAATGGCTGTATTTTATCCATACATACACACAAAAAAAAGGTTTAAATGTAAAACATAATAATTCCACTACTTGATGGAAATTTCACAATTTTTGTTAGTTTTAATAATGATTCTTAGGATATTTAATTTATAGAATGCGTTAGGAGAAAATGTATAGTGTGGGTGGTAAATAGTTTTCATTTTTTATGTCTAATTTTCTTTTGTGGTGTACATAACAAAATACTATAGTTTTATTACACTAGATGGCACTAAGGTTGCCGTAGTTATTTCGTATTAATTAACCATGTGCATTTTTGCTTGCAGTAATATCTCGAAGTTTTTTCACTTTCGCAGTAAACTTAGTGTTCGATAAAGCGTGTAGCATGAAAATAAATAAAGTATCTTCATACGACTAACATTTACTTATACGTATCTCCCCAAACAATCAGTCACACGATGTGGCACTAATAAAAATATCTTAATACCCTAATTTTTTAGGCCTTACGAGTATATCGACTTTGATTTCATGTCAACAAGTAATTCCAAGCGCCCATGATTGAAAGCAAAGGAGAACGTGTTACAATATGCCAACCACACTAGATCTGCTTTGTCCAATACCGACGGTCGAGGCATTTCTGTAAATACCAGGACTCGCCGGCTGGGTTACGACAGATATAGTGGTGGTCTGGGCGTAACACACACACAATATATATATCAGTTTCCATGAATAAAAACTTGGATGTGAATCAGATTAATCAAAAGAACTGTAATTACTATCAATTTTGTTTAAGTTTGTTTGTTTGTTTTTTGAATTTCGCGCAAAGCTACAAGAGGGCTATCAGCACTAGCCGTCCCTAATTTAGCAGTGTAAGACTAGAGGGAAGGCAGCTAGTGATCACCACCCAACGCCAACTCTTCGGCTACTCTTTTACCAACGAATAGTGTGATTGACCGTAACTTATAACGCCCCCACGGCTGAAAGGGCGAGCAAGTTTGGTGGGACGAGGATTTTGAACCTGCGAACCGCAGATTGCGAGTCCAGCTCCCTAGCCACTTGGTCATGCCGGGCCTTTATTTAAGTAATTTAAATAACATATCTTTTAGGCATGAATTAATTAATTAACAATTTTATTTAAGTAATTTACATGACACATTTTTTAGGTATGAATTAATGGAGCAATAGTGTCGCATCATTTTTCTTGTACTGATAACCACAGTTAATTACTCTGAATTAGATATTCTTTAGCTACGTTAGTACATAGAGGCAACAGTATACATAACAGCCTAGTATGTATACATAGTTGGCTTTAACTTCATAAAAACATTTATTGACTGTTTCACAACTGTTATAGGTCCTATTCTGTCTAAACTATGAGAGAGATTTCGGAAAGACAAATAAAAATATGTCACTTTAGAGCAGGGTTAGATTCCTACAACAAATAGTGAGTGGGCTGAGCGAGCAGTGCGAGTTCTGGACACGTGCGAGGGGTCAGGAGGTTTCAGATGTAAAAATCCATGATACATTTTTAGAAGTTTCTGTCTTGATGCAGTTAATTGTAATTCTAGAAAGGAGAATAAATTTATCTATATATGTTACTTGGAGAGTCCATGATTAACCACATGGTATATCTATATATGTTACTTGGAGAGCCCATGATTAACCACATGGTATATCTATATATGTTACTTGGAGAGCCCATGATTAACCACATGGTATATCTATATATGTTACTTGGAGAGCCCATGATTAACCACATGGTATATCTATATATGTTACTTGGAGAGCCCATGATTAACCACATGGTATATCTATATATGTTACTTGGAGAGCCCATGATTAACCACATGGTATATCTATATATGTTACTTGGAGAGCCCATGATTAACCACATGGTATATCTATATATGTTACTTGGAGAGTCCATGATTAACCACAGTGGTATATCTATATATGTTACTTGGAGAGCCATGTACTTAACCACATGGTATATACTATATAGTGTTACT